TCCATTAAGCATACAGAACTCCACTCTGTTGAGTTTTGTTTTCTCACCAGTTGCTTTTACCTGAACTGAACTTCAGCCAGATTCTGTATCATAAGTGAAATTCTCATCCTTTTCAGATTCTCATCTAAGCACTTTGTTACACTGGAGTTAATCATTCATTCTTCTTAGGTCCATCTTTTTCTACATACTGCTCATAGGTAAATTTACTACCTGCAAATATTCTTTTTTGGTTGAAGAATTTCCTGAAGGGAGAAAGTACGCTGTGTAAAGTAGATGGTCTTGTTATTCTTGCTGCTGTATCTGATGTCGCTAACTCCATGATCATTTTGTCAGGCTGCTCATTTCATATCTCTTTGATACCTTTTAATAAGCATCATTTCATATAAGTTCTCCTTGCTTTAGTTTTGTTCCTTCTAAACAGGAGATACGGTTCTATGATAACAGTAGGCCCAATAAGATACTGCGTTAATGGTATAACATGGATATAAAAATAAAAAACCTGACTCTTAATCACTTGGTATTTTATTTTTGTAACTTCAGAATAGTCCAAAACTTTAAATGGAAACTTTCATCCACACTTATTTATAATTCATAATCCAAATAAAGATTGTTTTGAACTGTATTTGTTCTCATTAGCCAGGCACTGAGGGTGAGGGCGACAACATGCACAGTGTTTTAATTGGAAATTAAAAATGCTGTTTTTATAATGCATAATAAATACATTAAAACTTTGATGAGAGGTCTTCTGCTGATTTGCATATGCTGATCTGTATATTACTTGTCATATATTTCTGCTATAACTGAATTGAGAACAGCTGAAGTTTAAGCAACCTTTGAATTTCATGAATTAATTTTAAAAAAAGGTTCATATTTTTATTTCATATTCCTTAAAGACTGTTGTGTAATTTGTCAGTATTAGCCATTTCCACATTGAATGAAATACTCTTGATGCTTGGAGTCTTCCGGCCTCATTTTATAGCCATATGCAAGAGCTGCTTTAAAGCATCGGTAGCACTGTGCACCTTAAAATTACTTGCACTAGAAATGGTGTAGAGAACAAGTAAATGATTGGTTCAAAAGTACATGGAATAGTAGAAGAAATTGGGTTTACATGTCCCCCTCTAATGTTAAGTGTTCTCATCCCTTTTAAAGATTGATCTGGAGAGGGAAGACCCAGCTTAAACTTTGCTATTTTGTATTGCAGTTCAGTGGTTTGTAGTTTATAAAAAGCATCAGATTAGTTTGTCCCACTTTTAATTCATGTTTCTCAGCTTCATCAATCTGAATCAATCAAGCTTAAGTCAGAATTTTTATGTGTACACTAGTGTTACAGACGGGATGTCTCTGACCAGATCATAAGGACCTTTTTTGTTATGGCTTCTTAGAAGTAAACCTTATCTGTTAAAATAACTTAAAACATGTATAATTTTTTATTAAATTTTATGTGTCTTCTCTTTTGTCTATTTACATGCTTATCTATGTATATTCAGGGTATTGGAGAATTGGTAGTTAGTTAAGCACAAACACGGTTTTGCAATGGTTCTGTATGTATTCTGGCCTGGTTTTACGATCTGGAGAAACAAGCATGCAAAACAGCCAGGTGTGTAGTGCTTAGAATCTTCTTAGTCCCAGTTGCTAAATAAACAATAATCTGAAATTTAAAATAATATTATGGGATAGCTTGAATTTGTTCCTGTCGTATGAATAGCACTAACCTGAATTTTTCAGTATTTTCTGATTTGCTTTGAATTAAATTGCTCATAGGAATTTTCTAGATGAAAATGCTGTTTTAAATGTACAAATAGCCATTTTAAAAGATCCTTAGAAGTATTTAAACTTGTCCATTGGAAGTTACACTTGAAAATGTAACTTGAGCACTAGTTTCCATGAAGCTGCCTGTGCCTTGACTAAGTGTTGGAGAATGGGTCTCCTCAGATTGAAGACACTTTTGAAACTGAAAACACTCCTGCATCTCCCATATCAGTAGCATGTGATGTAGAACTTCAAATAATAGTGAGCTCCTTCATAAAATAAGGCATTGGTGTGGAGTAAAGGAAAAGGAAAGAGGTCACTGAGAAAAAGCCATTCAGCTGTCTGATTAATTTGTCTTTTTATTTGATTAATGCAGAGTACTTAATTACAATTTCTGATCTTAAAATTGACAGTCCTATGTAAATTTCAGCTATTATTATCTTGCATCATGTTGCATCCTAACGAAGACTTTGAGGTTGGAAGTCACCTCTGGAAGTCATCTGGTCCATACCCCCTGCTCAGGCAGGGACACCTGGAGTCATTAATGTTTAGAAATTAGCGTTCTTCAGCCCCACTATTGTTGTGGACTCCTTCTACCCACTACTTTGCCTGTAATACTTACCTGTCTGGAAAGGCTTTAACTTTACAAGTGGTCTGAGTTGCAATAGTATTGGTTCCTGTAATGTTTCAGGGATCACAACGTGTGGCCTTTCTGAACAGAAGTAATTTTCTGATGTGTATTTTTGATACATTTTATACATTTATATTGTAATGGAAGACAAATTTTTGCTTTTTTCTGTTCCAAGTTTTCATGTCATGTTATTACCAACACATTCAAACCCAGAAGTGTTCCTATAAATGCAGATCCAGCAGATGTATATGAGTGACAAATTTTGTGCTAGAAAAATTAATCAGGAAGTTTTGCTTAAGTATACATAGCAATAAGACACCTTAAAATGTTATGTGAACTTATAAACAAAAAACCCCACTCCTTCTTAGCCGACTTGGTTGATCATGGAACAATTTCCAGAGCTGCAGCTGTTTCTGTAATGTGCAATTAGGGATATAAATTAAAGTGCTGAACTCCTTTACAGATGTGTTTAATCTTTATGTGATAGATCTTGTAACATGCAAATGACCAGGTTCTGTGCCCCATTCCCCATGTATTAAGCTTTCTAATAAGTGGAACTTCTCTATAGTGGAAGACAGATCTGTGACTTAATTTGAGATGGCCATGAGTTATGCAAAATCATATATAAATGAATGTCTTCCAGTGGTGCTTCAAAAACCCAGAGTATTTGCTTTCCTCATTATTATTATTACTATTATTATTTAGAATGAGCATTCTGCACACTCATTACTCAAGGATTGCACATTGGAAGACTGGCTCAAACATACTATTTTTCCTAACATTGGCCCTGTGTGAGAGAAGTCTAAACTGACTCTGGCTCTTTGCTAGGGAGTTGGGATATACTGGAAGAGTGTGTGTACTTATAGATGTATAAATGCTACCCTCCATGTTAGTAATGAATTGATTAACATTTAACAAGCTGACAAATTGCTTCCTTCTGGACTTGAAAAAAATCTAAGTGTCTTAGAAAAAATATTTGCTGTGTCTGAATATAAGCTTGAAAATTAATGCATTTTTCCTAAATTGAAAATTTTCAAACTCGTTAAACAAGATGAAATAGCTAAATTGAGCAGCAGGTTGGTAACTGCTGTTTCAGATAACTGAAGCATGGGCTTTAACTGGCTCTGGAGGTGTGGGATGAAGCTGTATAGATTGGAAGCTACACTAGCTTTGTGGTAGCAGAGGTAAAAGGAAGAAAGTAAGGAATCATTTCTAGTTCAGTGATACCTATAAATATCTTGTGGGAAGTAATCAAAGGAACACATAAGATTTTTTCTATGAGATTTGAGACACAGCTTGTTATGACGCATTGATATAATCCTTTTTTATGAGTCACAGGCTCAGTCTATAGACCTATTTCAACATCTGTCTAATTTTTAACATGTGGGCAATTGCCGTGTGAAGACTCTCAGGCAACTTTGTATGGGGTGTGAGATATATCCACATTCTTGCTTGGTATTTTTTGTGAAGAGCTTCAGGACTTTAGTCACATTGAATGTGGATGGAAAATTTAAAAGCAAGATAAGAGCTGACAATGGCAGATTTACGGAGCTATGTGAATACAGTTTTAGGACTAGTACCATAGTATGTAACACATTTTGGGTATTCTTTCTGATGAGAAAAGATACGATGGTGTTAATTTGCTAGTGCTGTTTTTTACGTTTGAAAATGAAATGAGTTGATTGATTTCAGCTGTGTTACCTTTTATTCTGAAAAGCAGTAGTGTGTTTGAGAACAAAGCAAAACAGTAAAAATCTTTGTGAATGCCTGTTTGAGGTACTAGTTTATTTCTACCTGTACCACAGGCTTACATTCAAAAGGCCAATTTTGTATTATCTGTAGTATGTTCTTACAGTAGAAACTTGCTACGGGTCATTTCAGAAGGGAAAACTATAATTTATAAAATGGGTTTAACCAGTTGTAAAGAAGACCAATAATCTCAACAGCGTAACACTGTTTAGTGTAGGTACAAAGTTACCAGTACTGCCAAATCATTTGTACTCTCTTGTGCTGCTAATGTTATTTTCAGTCTGATCAATATTACACAGTTGGGACATTCTTCCGCTATGTACATGAAAACAATTCTATTTTCCCAGCTATATTGTAATCAGATTATTTACTTTCAGAGGTCTGCAGGTTTACTGTGTTTCTTTTGTTTCTCACAAATTAATTTTTTTTTTTTTTTTGACTTGGAGTGGAAGGATTAGTGACTCGACTGACTTTGAAAGTATGAACATTTACCTGAAACTGAGTACTGATTCTTTGTAAAATTAGAACTTGCACTGCATTTTGTATTTAAATACAATGAAAATGCTATCAGCTGCTCAGTGCAGTACTGCGTATTTGAAAACAGCTTATCAAAACACCTTCTAATTAGTGTGTGCAGTAATTTGCTTTTCTTTAATGCTATTAAAATTCAAGATTTTTGAAGGAAACACATCCTTTGTTAGACTTTTTTAATGTTCAAGTCCTGATACGGAATTTTTGCCTGGCTTCTAACCTTTGCTTCATTTCTCTGATTAATAAATTTAGGTCTTCTGTAATGAATGTGGATGTATGCTCTTTGTCATTTAAGTATAGCCTGCCTGGCACTGATGATTTATTTTACTTTTTAAAGGCCATGGTTAAAAGTTTTATGGATGTCTACCAGCTTGCAAGTTCCAGAATTGACATGCTGCTGAGAGAAACAGCATCTCGTAAGCTTCCCACTTCAGCCCCAAAGTCCAAGAGCCAAACAGCTTGTCTTCATGAAAATGAGAACCTGCAATTGGTAAGTCTGCTTTTCAGTTAGTTTTTGTCATTTGGCTGTGGTTTCCTAGCCGGCATCTCCCTTCATGCTGCACAGTATCTGTAGGGAAATTCAGTAATATTTCATTATAAACATAATAGAGCAATAGCATTTGTGTCAACAGAAACCTTCCGAGACTTTAATAGAAGAGAAAGGGGGTGGTAAAAGTTAACGTGAAGATTAATTTTACTACTGTATCTTCTACAAGGACTTATTGATTGCTGCTGTCACTAGAAAATTATACGTTGTGATTTCTTGGGTTTTGACAGTAGAGTGAATGGTTAAACCAGAATATTATTAACTGTGCATGTAAACAAAATATTTGTTATGAGAAATGCTGGCATTTTTTAAAACAATAGTAGTTATGAATAATACTTCATGCTAAAGTTGCAGGGTTAAAATCCAATTTCAGAAATAATTTCTTGTTGCCTACAAAGATACTTGGAGTTGTTTAAGGCTAATAAGGTGATTCTTCAGATATGAGAGCTCTCTCTAGGGGGATTACTGAATGCAGATGTGTTTGTGTCCCACAGGCAGGAGGCCAGACACATAAACTGTCATAAATATGTAGCCAAGTATGTCTAGAATGAGACTGTGCAAGCTGTGCAAGTTGCATACACTTGATGTATTTCTTCTCCATCTTTCTTTATTTTGCCATACGGAATAAAAGAGAAAATTTGGAGGGTTGTTACTTTTTTGGTAATGTTTTGGTGTTCGGTGTTTTTCTTTTGTGTGTTCTCTCTTTTGTCCTTTCTCCTCTTTTATTCTTGTGAAGCAAAGGATCATAAAGAAAATGAGGATGTTTGCCTTTTTGAAATTGAAGATCGGTTAAGAAGAGATCCTTCACTAATTCAACTGACATAAACACAACAGCAAATGTATATTCAAAGACTGTGGCTGTGGCCTTGGTTGTTTCCAACAGAATTACATTAATTTTTTATCCTGCTTCTATATTGGATCAGTACAATGGGAAATTATTGCAAATAGAAAATATACTAATCAGTGCTGAATTTTAGTTTTCAGAGTTGAATGAAAGCTTTGTTTTATTTGTGACTGCACAACCTTTCTAGGAAACTAAATGAGATCACTTCACTAAAATTGTTCCTTTTCTCCGCCACCCAGGCTTTATGTTTTTTACTAAGTTTACATGTGTCCTGCTGAGCCTGTGCCCAGTGTAATTGGGTTGCTGCTTGTTATGATTGGTTTTGTTGTTTAAATCAAGATGACCACTTGTGTACTAATGATTGGGAAGTGTGCCAATCTTGTGCAGCAAGGTTTGCTTCATTTGGGTTGAGAGAGCTTTTAGCAAAGTTATGCTAGTCCTGCCTGTAAAGGGTTATGCAGTGACTTGATATGTTACAGTGAAAACAAATACCTTGCCCTCCCATCTCTCTGATACCTGTGGGTAAATACAGTGCCTTTAAAGTAATTTGTGTCTGCCTATGGTATCAATGTAAAGATGATACTTTCTGCATTGTCGTAGGATCTGTTGGCCTTCCTATAGAGCCCTCTAGGAAAAATAATAGTTCTTCCTTTAGATGCAGCTTAATTTGAGCCAAAGCATGAGCATTAATGGAAAGTGGGTTAGAATTCTAATGTAGAGGCAAAAAATTTAGAATTATACGTGTTCGAGTTTCAATTAAAAAAAAATGTGCTTATGGTATCTTGTACTAAGTTTTCTGTAAACTTGTCCCTAATATTTGGAAAAGTTGCATCAAGCATGACTTCAGCCATCACAGCTTTCAGGAGCAACCGACATTAGAGTTTCTACCAGTGCTGTTCTGTTCTGATTTTAAGGAAGAAGTTTGTACTAATTTTTTTCTGTATTAAAAGAGTAGAACACATATTTTTGCTTGATTATTTGAAATGAAAGGGAGTAATGACTTTTCTTGAATATCTGTTTGGTTTCAGAGTTGTACACACCTTGCTGGTTTCAGTCCACTGTGTTCAATCATATATCCAGTTCTGGTAATGTTGCAGGCAAAACTTTTTATGTAGGAGATAAATTAATACAGCTGGACTGTATTAATTGCAGGTCTTCATATGACAGATGCTTGTATTCCTAGAACAGCAACCTATTACTGAGTGCTAAAGTACATTTTTGAAAAGTCTTTTGGGTGTATACCATCTGTGGACTGTTACCTTATAAGATTAGGGTTTTTCTCAGTATGTTGTGGCTGTCTTTAGATGTCTGGGCGCTGGTTATATAAGGTTCTTGCCCTCCCAGCTGTCCACTGCATCTGAATTTGAGCCATTCATCAGTACTCATCTTTTCCATGTTCAGAAGGTAGTGCTTTTCTAATTGATCTTTTTTTGTACTGAAATTTGCTAACTATGTTGCCTTTCTATTCACACCGCTTTTTTTCTGTTCTGTGGCTTGGGTTTTGCTGATAATTGTGAAAAACAAAACTGATGCCATATGGCAATACCAGTGATTCTGACTTCTCATCTTTTATCTAAGACTCTGAAGTGATGTCTCCATCCTCCAGACTGCTTCTAGTCCAGCCACTTTCCTGCTAGTCAGTAGTGTTCAGATTCTGAGGTTATGTGTACTCATGCTAATGCCAACAGAGAAGAACAGGAAGGGGTATGATTATGATGGACAGAGATGAGATGAACGCTGGGAACACTGCTTACAGTGATGAGAATTATTATGTGGGCTGAAGGGAAGTCAGTAGCAGAATGTCTCTGTACTCTTCATTTGTGTCCAGCTGTCTGTTGTACTCATCTCTGATGATTCTTCCCCTGTGCAGAGAAAGGCCCTGTGCATTTTTCATTCTTGCAACTCCTAAAAATTTAGTATGCCTGAAATATAGACTATTGGTTTTCTACCTAAATATTTTTCTATTGTTCCCTATTCCTGTATTGCTTTTCCATTTTGCCTTTTTTTGTTTCTTTACCAAATGCTTCTGAAATTTCCCTTACGTTTCTAAAATGTCAGTTTCTTTTTTTTTGCAACCATAACAGTTTCATTTCTGTGCATTCCTTTTTTTTTTAATTACTTTCTCTGAAGTGCAAGTACCACAGTCACAATTCTGTCCTCCATTACTTGCTTCATTGCCACATACCACATATATGTCAGGTTATGCGTATAATTGGTAGACATGATGATGATCATAATAATAATAATAATTCAGCTAAGAAGGTATCATTGATATGGCTGTATGTAATCTTGGCTATAGGTATGTAGGTTGCAAGAGGAGGAACAGAGAAGCCAGCAGTCAGCCTCTAGCATGAAATAAGATAATTACTTCACTGAGCACTGAACTCATTCCTGGACTGGCACTGCTGTTTTCTCCATGAAATTTAAAGAACTGTATTGTTTCCTTTTACATGACTCTGCCTTTATGTCTTATTATTTTCCTTAGAAGGTGGATTTAGTGGAAGTACTTCACTGGTAGTAGCTAACTGTATACACCATCTGTATGTAAGCAAAGAAGGTATCAACTAAAATGTTCTTTCTTTTATTTCTGTTTTTCCTGCCTGTTTCTTGCTCAGCAACATCTAGTAATATAAACATCATAAGCTGTGCTGTGCTTAGGGTTTCCTGCTAAATGAATGCTTGCCAGTTACTTTAGCAGTACTGGACTCTGCTGCTTTGGTCCACTTTAATTCTTCAGATACATTAGTTTATTACTATACTTAGACTTTCATTCAGAGTTGCAGTAATAAGTGGGCTTTGAACTGAGAGCTTTAAAATGCTGCACTGTGCAGTAGTATAGTCAAAAGCGATTATTCTGTGGGTGCTGGGGGGTGACATGATATTGTATTAGTCACATGGACAGCACATGAAACAGCGGTGTCTCTGCTGCCAAAGATTTTGTAGCTGCAATCACAGTGTTCTTGAGAGTGGATGCAGTGACTGACACTGTATTTTCCAGTGTGACTTGATATATAGGAGGAACTGACAGAACATTATAAAATTTCCTCACAAAGTGTTTTGGTAGCTTTTGGCCCTGAGATACCAGTACTGATGTCAGGATTTTAAGAATTTAACATATTCTGGTATCAGTTTTGGCAGGCAAAAAAAGCACTGTTACATTGCAGGTGGTCAGGTGTTTTTCTGATCCTGAACATGCAGCTGATCCGGTGATATTACTTCCTTTCTCTGCTTTCACTTCAGAATCAAAGGAGTGCAGAAAACAAAGTGTGAAATAACAGTGATTTATAAAGATGACAGAAAGAGAAAAGCTTTGTGTGCACAGGATAAATGGGAATTTGGGGAGCTAAACTGAAAGGGGGAGAGGGTGCATTTCAGATGGGTGAGAGGTGAAGTTCTGTAGAACTGTAAGAAGAGCAGGGTTCTCTAACTGTGAAAACGTAGTTGTCTTTGGATGCTTCTAACTGAGTTTGAAGATTAAATCACTCATTGCTCTGTGTGGCTTTGCATCATCCTTACTTCTTCCCCTGCCCCTTGCAGTTGTGGTTGTCTCTGTCCTTTGTCTGAAAATGCCTAACGATATCACTGAAAGTACTGGAAAGACATAATTATATGTTTTGGTAAGATGAGATAAGCAAGGAGAATCATCTTACATGTGGAAAATCCTTATTTATTGTTGAGATGCTAGTAATTGACGTATGCTTGTATTTTTTTGATGAGGAACTACATTAAGCAAAAAGTACATTTTTCTTTCTACTCAGAGCAGTCAGCTCTCAGTTCTTATGATCTACTTGAATCCTGGTCATGGAGGGGTGTAGAGAGAAAAGAAATATTTAAAACTCAAAATTTAACTACACCAGTTTCTTAGCCTGGCTGTTCTGGGCAGTGGTTTTATTTATCTTTCTTCTCATATACCCTTTGTTCCCTTGTTACCAGTTCAGCCTGCATTTTAAGACTGAGACGCATCTAATAGGGACACAATGACTTACATTTGTAATTATGAGGACAGAGCTGGAGTGAAAATAAAACGCCCTGTTTGCCTTTTCACTTGCTGCATAGGAGAAAGGGATTTACTCCATCGGTGTCATGTTAAATGTTAGAG